CTTTGTTGGCATCCGGGGACCGATTCTTTTGTTTACAGATTTCGCAGGCTGGTGGATGGACCGACAATCAGACGCACCGTTCTGTCCAGGGTAGCTGGACTCTTCGACTCTCTGGGCTGGTTGGCACCCGTCATCGTACGAGTCAAGATATTCATTCAGAAGACTTGGCTACAGAAACTTTCCTAGGATGACGTTCTTCCCCAAAGAGAAGCAACAGAGTGGCAAGATTTCGAGTATGACCTTCTTATACTGGAGCAACTCACAGTNTTTAAGTCCTCAGTCTACCCTCGGCCTTTGTTGGCATCCGGGGACCGATTCTTTTGTTTACAGATTTCGCAGGCTGGTGGATGGACCGACAATCAGACGCACCGTTCTGTCCAGGGTAGCTGGACTCTTCGACTCTCTGGGCTGGTTGGCACCCGTCATCGTACGAGTCAAGATATTCATTCAGAAGACTTGGCTACAGAAACTTTCCTAGGATGACGTTCTTCCCCAAAGAGAAGCAACAGAGTGGCAAGATTTCGAGTATGACCTTCTTATACTGGAGCAACTCACAGTCGATGGTTGGGGGTGATGGAGTCTGAAACATCTGCTTTGCAGCTCCATGGATTCGCTGACGCATCTGAAAGAGCTAATGCTGCCATAATTTACGTCAGGAGTGCTTCACTGGATGGAGCATCAATAAGGGTTTCATTGGCACTGGCCAAAACTAGAGTGGCCCTTCTCAAACCCATTTCGTTACCTCGTTTAGAGTTGTGTGCGGCCGTATTGCTTGTGCGGTTGACAGCTCATTTGAGAGAACAGTTGAAGTTATCATCAGTTCCAGTACATTTATGGTGTGACTCTACTGTCACTCTTGCATGAATTCGCGGACACCCTGCAAGATGGACAAGATTTGTTGCAAACAGAGTTGCTGAAATTTATCGTACCTTTCCTGAGGCACGCTGGTGCAATGTAAGGAGTGAGAACAATCCTGGAGTGGCTCCCATGGACCTCTCTCAACACCCACTTTGGTGGAGCGGTCCGGACTTTCTGAAAAACCCTGAACCGTTGGTCAATGACTACGTGGATGTAACAACTGAGAGTGATCTACCAGAGCAACGTTGGATAGTGCATGGAGTAACCAAGGTAGAAGCAAACGAATTCCTTGCTCGTTTTTCTACTCTTCAACGATTACTCCGGACAACAGCGTGGATATTGCGGTGGAGGCACGGTCATGCGGAACGCGTGAAGGGACCATTGATTCCTGAAGAGATCATTGCGGCAAGGAATCTCTGGATTAGATTGGAACAACGAATGGCATATGGTGATGATGTATGTGCTTTATCCAAAGGACACGCCATCCATAATCGAAATTCACTTGTTGGCCTGAAGCCATACTTGGACAAGGTTTGTTTATTTCGCTGTAGAGGCAGACTACGTCATACTGAGTTGGACTGGGACAGTCGTCATCCTGTGATACTATCACCAAAATTTCATCTCACCAGACTTTTGGTGATTGCAACCCACCATGGAGCGTTGCATGGCGGAGTACAACTGATGTTGGCAATTCTTTGGCATCAATTTTGGACCCCGGGAGGCAGGCGACTGGTGAGACAATTATTACATAATTGTATGCCGTGTATGCGATGGCGGGCGACTTCTCTACAACCTCTCATGGGTGATCTGCCGCGGGCTCGAGTGACGCCTTCGCGCCCATTCACGATGACTGAATTTTATTTTGCGGGACCTGTTCTCCTTCGGACAACTAAGGGAAAAGGACACCGAGCATACAAGGGGTACATCTGCGCGTTCGTTTGCTTGGCGACAAGAGCAGTTCACTTAGAGGCTGTCACTGATTACATGACGGAAGCCTTCCTTGCTGCATTCCAGAGGTTTATTTCACGACGAGGCTTGTGCAGGGAAGTATTTTCAGATTGCGGCACCAATTTTGTTGGAGCGGATGCGAAACTTCGAGCACTCTTTCGTGCATCGAGTGAAGAGTCACGGAAGTTAGTGGAGCACCTGGCTGAAAAAGGGATCCGATGGCGATTTAATCCGCCATCAGCTCCACACTTTGGAGGTATGTGGGAAGCTGCAGTCAAAAGCGTAAAGTATCACATTCACACGGTCATCGGGGAGGCTACACTCACTTACGAGGAGATGGCTACGCTACTAGCTAAAGTGGAGGCATGCATGAATTCGAGACCTATTGCTGCAATGTCAGACGATCCTGAAGATCTATTACCACTCACACCGGGGCACTTTTTGATTGGAACACCTTTGTTGTCCATACCTGAACCTCTTCTAACGGAAGAATCTACATCGCGGCTTACACATTGGAAGCTTTTACAAAAGATGCGTGACCACGTATGACAACGGTGGTCACAGGAATACTTGACATCTTTATTGCCTCGGACCAAATGGAAAACACTTTGCCCTGCTTTAAAGATTGGACAACTTTGTCTAGTGCGTTCTAAAGTCACCCCTCCAACACGGTGGCCACTGGCTCGAATTGTGCGCCTTTATCCAGACTCTGATGGACAAATCAGAGTGATCACCGTGCGCACTTCTACAGGAAAGCTAGTGAGACCTGCGGTCAAGATACGAGGGCGGTTCAATAAGTACCCGTGTTAGACGACAGAGGGCGTTCCTGAGGGAAGTTGGTGTTA